GGAAAAATTTGCTACTTTTCGTCGATAGTTCTATAAAATTGTTGAATTGGTCTAGGAAAAATGGAGAGTTTGTTCCGCCCACCATAACAACTAAGTTTAGGCGGTAATGTAGCTGAAAATTGAAAGCGGTTTGAACAGAAATTCGAAATTTTCTTAACTGTAACTGGGTTAAAGAATAAAGATGAGGAAATTCAAATAGCTGTGTTTCTAAATCTTATTGGAGATGATGGCTTTGAGTTACATAATAGTTTTTCGTATACAGATACAGAGAAAAAATCGTTAAAATTAATATTACAAAAATTTAAAAACTATTGCTCGCCACAAGCCAACATTATCTTTGAGCGATTTAAATTTAATGGCATTGTGCAAAAAGAAGGCCAGTTATTTGACAGTTTTCTGACAGAGCTGAGAAAAGCTGTAAAAATGACAAGCTACAAGGAAAAATGGTAAATGTCCAAAAGTGCATGTTGTAGAGAAGAATGAATCTAATGAAAGTAGTGATGAATCAGAAAGTAGTGATGGGCAATTCTATGTAAATTCTGTTAAAATAATTAATTCATTGAAGAAGAAAGTGCAAAAATCTAATTCACAAGAGAAAGTTTGGAAGCAAAAAGTTTACCATTGGTCAAGGGCAAGTAGATTTTAAACTTGATACTGGGGCAGAGGTGAGTGTTTTACCATTGCATATTTTGGAAAAGTTGAATTTTGTTAATGACTTGAAGTCCGCAAAAATTACTCGAATTTCATATGGTAGCGAAAGCTTTAAAATCAAACTCCTTGGAGAGGTCAGTTTGTTGTTGAGTCAATGGCATTGAGACGCTAGTTGATTTCATTGTTGTTGATGCTGAGAACCAACTACCTTTACTTGGGTTACCAGGTTGTTTATCTTTAAGATTATTGAAACGTTTAGCGTCGATTAGTAAGGGAGCAAATGTATCTTCCAAATCTTTAGAGAGAGTCATTAAAGCTTATAAATCTTGTTTTGATGGCCTGGGGGAGTTTCCCACAAGCCACCATATAACCTTGAAAAATGACGCAATTCCGCATGTTCAGCCTCCCAGAAGGGTTTCTAACAGAGCTGGGCAGGGCTTGAGTGCTTTGTGCTTGCGAAAGTGCTTGAAGCACTTTGAGGGCTTGAAAGCCCTGTGCTTCAAGCCCTTTTATAGATTTGTAATTGGGGCTTGCAAAGTCAATTACTTTAGAAAAGTGCTTGGTAATTTGTAATTGAAAAAAGTAATTCAAGCTCTTTCAATGAGCTTCAATTACTTTTAGAGGGCTTGAAGCACTTTTGGGAGCTTGAAGCCCTTTGAAAGGGCTTGAAGCCCTTTAAGAGGGCTTGAAGCACTTTTGGGAGCTTGAAGCACTTTGAAAGGGCTTGAAGCACTTTAAAAGGGCTTGAAGCACTTTGAAAGGAATTTGAATTGACCATCATTCAACCTCCCACTTAAAAATTTTCGATCGTGTTTTGTCCCTTAATTTTTTTTTCTTTTATTTGAACTTGAACCGTCTTATGTCTTTTCTCTCTTAACAATGGAGGTTTTGGGTTCGAGCTTAGAACGGAATTTAAAAAAAAAATGAATGAACTTATTATTAAAATAAATAATTAATTTATATTGGTACCCTATTTAACTTTATCACTGGATTTTTTCCACTTTTCCCCATTGAACATTTTGAAAACCTTAAAACTGAAGTACCATGTAGTACCCCAAGTACCTACCCCAGAACTACATCTCAAAAAAAAACATACTACTGCTACTCTGTGAAATGTAAAGTTCGTCTCTACTATACCAATTCTGTGTGATGAGTTTACGCGGTAGCTTATGCCACTTTGAGAATTTTATTACAAATTCAAAGTGCTTTAGGCACATTTAAAGAGCTTCAAGTACATTTAAAGAGCTTGAAGCCCTTTTCAAGGCACCTCAAGCACTTTTGATGTGCTTCAAGCACTTTTCAAATCACTTTGAGGGCTTTGTGCTTGTCAAGCCCAAAGCACTTTGAGGGCTTTGTGCTTGTGAAGCACTTTTAAAAATAAAAAGGAATTTGTGCTTGAAATTGAAGCACTTTGATAGAGGGCTTAGGGCTTAGTGCTTCAAGCCCTTTTACTGAGGGCTTTGCCCAGCTCTGGTTTCTAAAACACTCTATGAAAGATTAAAATGCAAGCTAGAACAACTCGAAGCACAAGGTGTAATTGAAAAAATTGAACTGAAGTGAAGTGGCTGAGCCCGCTATAAATGTATATATAGGGTGTCCGTTTTAAGTGATACCACTATTGCTATCTCCGAAACGGTGAAAGTTACGAGGTCGGTGAAATTAGAAAAAACTGGCAGATTTTAGTGTTCATTGCCGGAAAGTTCACAGGGTTGCCAAATTTTTGTTCGTTTCCAAAATATGAGGGAAAATGTAAAAAATTCCTAAAACTTATTCAATGAATGTTTCAAAAATTATCATCTTAAGAAAAAAGTGTTTAATACAAAAGTTTCAAGATTTCTTCTCCTCTACAAAACGGCGTAGTTGTTATCGTCACACGACTTTCAGTTTTTGAGATATCAGTACCAACTTCATTTTTTTAAATACGGACCTGGATTTTTTATTTTATTTTTTAAAAGGATTTTTCTTCCTCTTTGAAATGACCTATAGCTCAGGCGTGTTTCCCGACGTATCGGTATGGAAATAGCCATCATCAACACTTTTTCCTTAGTCCGTGTTGGATAAACTGATATTCATATCAGTGAAACAAAAATTAATAAATTAAACTTTGATTATTAGCCTATACTTTGCTAATTTATATCGCAGCTATGGATGACTGAATGTGTTTATAATAGTTTTTATATGTAAGGTAAACAGATGAGGAATTGTTTACTTAAGAAGGAATTGTTTACCTAAAAAGTAATTCTTTGTCTTGATGTTGAGTCAGTTCGTATAGTTATTTCTATGAGTTCACGCGCTCTGCTTTTCACGCTGTGTTCGATATAATAAATATATTGAATATCGATAATCAACAAGTTCTTTTATTTCTTAGTCCATTTTCCAATACATAATACGTTTATTTTGCATGTCATAGTTATTGGGAATAGGAATAGGCGGGAATTTACCCGTCTATTCCTGTTTAGTCAGATTTACGTTTTTGTGTTATTGTTTTCCACAAATAACAATAGGTATTAGTTTTTTTTAATTCGGTTTTTGAACCAGTCTTTGACAGTAAGTGATGTCGTATGTGTACCGTTGCTTAGTTTGGATCCAGAGAAATGAAACATACTTTGAGTTTAATTTGCTGGGTTTCATTTATGGTCCTTCGAAGTTTTTTGGGATATTTTGTATGCGGTTTAGGCCACAGGAACTTGAATAGTGTGTAGATTTTTGAAGCTGAATTCATACAATGCTCTTCAAGAATATGGAACCAAATATAGGGAATCCCATTTGAAAGTTTGCAACATTTTACATTTCTGACATTCAATTCTTGGTTTTGACCATTGATTCTAGAAACTTAGCCAAAACTGTACAACTTTTGTATTGTAAATGCTATAGACACACCGAGTGCGCGCACTCTGCTCCGTTCAGAAAGTACTTCGGGCGCGCTCCAGGTGTCGCACCGGTCACACCATAATTTTTTGGTGTGGCTGCGGTGTGATTGTGTCTTTATGTCAACAATGTCAACCATTCCTCCCACAATCTCATTATTCCCACCAAATATAAACAAAACACATATTATAATTGAAGTTTTTGCTTCAAATTAAAAAAATGAACAACAAAAAAAGTTATCTTAATACATTTGGTGAAATTTTTGAGGAGATGCTCTATTGGTCACACCAAGCGTTCAGAAATTCATCCGAAAGTTGTCGCCTAAGAATTGTCATTTCAGTCACACCCATAAAATCGCTCTCATACCCGGTGTGTTATTTCTGAACTCGCCCCTGTAGGTGGGGTGTCAATATATATAAAAAAAAACACCCTGTACAGCAATAATAAGGCTAGAATTTACATGTTTTGATAACTTTTATTACCAATCGATAAAAAAATAACTTATATAAACTGAGAACAACTTCATCATCATAGTCTTCGCAGACACGTTTTGAACTCAGAAAATGCACTATGGAGGATTGCCGACACGGAGGTTCCCTTCATTTTCAATCAAATAATATTGCCTTCTGCATTTTTCAGTGTTGATGAAACAATACATATAGCTTGTCCTCGGTCTATTTTTATATTATTTCAAGCGTATTTATTCAAACGCCAACAATAGAATGTGAATATTGACACTAAACCCACCACTGTTTCAATAAAAGTGCGAATTTTATATTGAAAACTATCCAAATGGAATAGATAAAATATCCGGTGGACAAACATGAAATCAAATAACACTTATGGCGCTCAGTATTTTGCTTCGGAATCATTTGAAATTTGAAACATAGAATTTCAGTTAGTATAGGCAATATAATATGGTACATTATTGTTGAGCTTTAATGGAAAAACGCAATTTAGTTTTCTACTAAAAACGATTTGTCTTGAAAGAATTACCAATAAATCTATCATGTTCAATTGGTCATTAATATCAGAAAAGCGCTGTAGCAATTCTAGCATTCCAATTTTGTTTCCAGATAAATGGTTTTATCTAACAGAAAAATCCGAGGTTTGTTGGATTGTAGAACGAAAACCACACATGTGGCAGAATGACAACCATGGTAGGAATACGGAGACTAAAATTTATAGAGTTATCGTATTTGTATTGGACAGGAGTGGAAATTGAATCCATATAGGTATAGCACAAAATATTTTCTGATTATTTGCTTTTGGCTCAAATACTGGATATTTTTTGAACAATGCTAATAAAATCTTTTTAAAAAAGAAACAAACAACGGTTGTAACCAAATAAGGGTTTGGAAAAGTTCTTGAAAAAAGCTATCAAGCATATTAATAACCACCTCGAGCGATTCTAGAAACATAATCTATAGTATATAAATAACCTTGATCTGTATATTTTCAACTGTGTAGTTCAGATTTACCTGTATTATGCTAGTCTTTCCCACGGCGGGAGCTCCCAACAAAATAATCTTGACCAAGTCCATGTATTCGGGACTGGTCTCGACCGGTGAACACTGGTCATCTTTAACACCTCCCGTTGTCGAATTTTGCTGTTGGTGCTGATGCCGTTTTTCCAAAAAATCCAGATCCAACTCTGGAATAAAAAAAAAATCATCGTGAAAACTGAAATTTAAAGTGCTAAAAGCGATCCGATGTCGCGCCCTCAACAGCTTTTTATTTCGAAGCTACAAAACGTGTCGCCATGTAAATAAGTGCCTCATATAGAATGAAGGGAAAAAAGCTTCGAATGCATTTTTCAGCTCGAGAAACTTTAATAAACGACCGTCCAAGTGTTGGAGAGTTTTTTACAATGAGTTCACGATATTTTAGCTCTAGTTTTTAATATATTTTTTACATAATTAAAAAAATATTTATCCTACAACAACCATTAATATAAACTATAGTTTTTGTCTAGTTGGGAATTTTATTCGTTTAGCTTAAGCCACGTTAGAATAACACAATCTTCTTCAATTTCAATTTTCCTAAAACTCACGAGCACTTACAAGAATATTCAATCAACAAAATTAAATTTTTATATAAGTATTTATCGGAATTTAGCCTGCTTCTTTCAAATTGAGAAACCTACTAACTCCAAATGGAAAACGTAAAACTACGCTTAAGTTAAAAGATTAATCTCTATTGATTTTAAACCGACCTCAGGTTCTTTTTAGGAACTCTTCTCTCTGAATTATCCGTACCTAATTCGCCAGTGGGTACAAAGAGCCCAAAACGTTTTTTTTTCCTAATGGTATTAGGTAAATCGACGAAAATCACGCACAAAAGAAAATAACTGAGAGGGTCGCAACTGAAGAAAATCGTTCCGAAATTTCTCGGATTATTTTTTTTTGATTCGAGTAATTCGTCTTCGTTCGTGAATGATAATATAAAATACACTATACTATACATTATTTACAGACCGATGTAGGAGGAGAGCAAAAAAAATTGAATTTAAATCTAAACTTCATTTGCTAGTTTTTATGTATCGACAGGAAAATAAATAAATTTCCACACATTTTTCCAGATTTGAGGCATTGTATAAATACCTACTAAGGAGAATGAATCTCCAAATATTGTAACATAGATAGGAATCTGAAATTTTTAGAGAATCTTATCCTATTAGAGGACTCCAAACCCTCACAGAGATTCACAAATTGATTAAGTATAGCATCTTCGACGAAATTCCACAGAAACCAATACAAAAAGAACTTGACGAGGTTCACCGATTAGAGGAGGTTAAAAAAGCAATTAGGACTAAAGAAGAAAAAGTTAGGTGGTACTGATGGCATTCCTGCTGAATTCATTAAACCAGGGCCTCCTAAGTGCCCAAGCCCACATCCTAATACGTAAAATATGGATTACTGAGACTATATCTGCCAAACTGTGGAAGAGTGTGCGGCTCCAGAATAGGTTTATATCACCATCAGAAAACGCATAATCGACGACAATAAGAAAAGAATAGAAGATAATCATTCTCGTTATCGAGTTATCGCATGTCATATATGATGATGTTTTTGAATAAACTGCTCTCTCCTTCCTACAGGAATGCTTAGCTTTGTTTTGGTTCGAAATTTGGAACGGTTCTGGGATTGCGCAGCTAATACTAGTTCTGAACCGATTCGGAACAAAAAAAAAAACAAAACACGCCGCAAATCACAAAATTCCAAAATAGTTCCTCCTCCAGAGCAAGAACTGACAGAACCGTTCTAGAACAATCCCATTGTAACAAATTGGCACACCACGTTGGGCGCCAATTTATTTGTATTTCAAGACAAGAGGTCGTGGAATTCAAAAATAAAGATGTTTTTATTGAATCGGCTTTTACTTGGTGGAAATCCATTATCTAATAAAAGATTTTTCAAGTAAATTTCAATACTTGAATAAAGATAATGTGTAGCCCCTTCCTTTATGTGCAAATGAAACCACTCAATATCCAACAAACAATAATTTTATTAAATATTTGTTCACAATGTGAGTAACAATGTTACTATTCTTTGAAATTTGACAGTTAACAGTTTGATTGTTCTGGTGAATCTGATACAATATGTACCTTTCCAATCCGGAGTTCTTCAATGGATGTTAGGGTTTCACTTTCGTGAACTGGGGTTTTTCGTTTTGTTTCCTGTATCTAAGAAAGAGGATAGATTACTGGTGTGACGTCACTCCAGCAGATCCAGACTCCAAATAGTAATCTTTTATGTCGAGAAGGTACTCAGAAAAGAATAAGGCAGTATCAGGTTCACCAAGATTTTAAATATTAAAACCCTGAATTCTGTCAAAAAGCGGGTGTCTTGCAAAGAAGATTTAAATTGAAATTAGTTTATTATAAAACCATTGTTGTGCACATCTTTCCAACAGAATCAGGTAAGTATGAGCAACTATTGTCAAAACAATTAAATAATTCAAAAAAATATTAATAATAAAATAATAATGTCGTAATAATTAGGTAAGTATACAGCAAGATTAAAGATATATGCTCGTTATAATTGAGCAGAATGCTACTTTTCTAGCAGTCGCACTAAACAGGCAAAATTTAAATAAAAAGAATGTAAGAAAAATTGAACAACATAAACAAAATAATTTTCTAGATTTTCCCCAAATAGATAAATCTCCATTTTTAAGTTAAGGTACCTTCATAGGTATCACAAGATAAAAATGAGGGTGAAGTTAATTAAATCTAGGAATTGTCAAAATTTTTGAGATGTTTTAATTGAAACTTTTTAAATACATTTTTGACCTATCCGGATTTCTATTTTAAAAATTACACCTTTCTTAGCACTCTCCTTCTCGAGAAGAAAATGAGAGAGTGAAACAAAAAATGGCTATAGAGGCCTCTGCCAGGATTCAGTAAAATGTTGATAGGGATGGACACACAAATTTGGTTTGCACCGACTCCATTTAGAGCAAATGGTCCAATAATCCCACACTAACAATTGATCTAGTACCTATTTATTAGCCAAAACTCTGAATTGACTAACCTCAGAAAAACGTGGGACCACCAATCACAAAATGGAGGCACACAATTAGATAAAAATATAATATTTATATTTCAAATGTAGATAAGATAAGATTTATCAGGTAAAAACTCAACAGTGATATGATGTATACACTGATGGTAAAATAAATTGAAAAATATGAAGGGAAAATCTAGAAATCTGAAGAAAAAAATTACCAAAAATGAAATCGACTGATGCTGATTCTGAAATAGCAAAAATACAACTTTATGATGATAATTAGAAGAAATGGAACATGTTACGACAATGATAAATTTATCGTAACAAATTGTTCCTGAATAGTTCTAGATAAACCAAAACGCTGTCAAGACAGTTCGATTACGATTCTGAAAAAACGAAAACTCGTTTTATAATACGCGCATGTGCAGAATGATTCCGAACTAGGTCTGAGTGAAACCAAAACAAAACTCATGAGATTTTAGTCGGACTAGTCGTATTTAGTTTTCGAAAACTTCCATGTCATCGACATGAAATATCTTGTAGTTTTCCTCTTTCTACCTTTTATCTAGAAAACCTGAATCGATTATCTGGCTCAATTGACCGATTATATACGAATTTTGTGATTTTTATTTGTCGAATCATGTTACACGTAGATGAAGTCGTCAGAGTTCTGATATGCCAGCTATTTTCAAATTCAAATTTTGTAGCATAACTTTGTTATTTATATATTCCACCATTAGTTTTTAAATTAACGGTTTGTAAATGAGGACAAAAGAAATTGAAATAGCAATATTGGATCAATATAAATTAAGTAATTAAACCTACATTGTCAACAAAAAGGACGATTCCGTCTAAAAACTCGTTAAAAATACATTAGAGAACTATTTCGCAATGTATTCATCTAGGCGCTAAGCAAACAAAGTTTCAACTAGGCCAAATTTAAGTTTGATGATTCTAGTAATTAGAGCAAGGCTTTCTAGAAAGCTAATGGAGTTTTCAAAGACACTGAGTATGAAAAACACTTGTTTGGTTAAGCCTTTAAACGTGATAGTGTATATATTACATGATTGAATAACTGTGCATATAAAAGATAACAACATTTTTAGTGCAAATGGTCCATTGCTTACCCAATTATTTCTCGTATCTTTGGGATAGGAGCACTCAACTCACGGCTATAAAGACTTTATCGTTCTCTACTGAGAGCGTTCACCACCTTTTCTGCCCATCACGTCTTCTTTATGTTTTTCTTGAGATAATAAACTGCACTTGACATTGCGGACAGTGTTTAGGCCTTTATTTTGTTCTTTCTTGATAGGTATTTTTCAGCCGTGCAGTCTTGAAATGACAGTTGTGTTTGCTGGCAATTCTCTATTACTTTCCCAATCAGCTTTGATTATTCCTTGTAGCATGCCAAATTCTACTGTCACTTTTTCTTTCATATATTATTACATTATAAATTATGTAAAGTATTCAGTTATTTTATAAACCTAGAGGGCAGACTTTTGTTTTAAATTTTAAGTACTAATTAGTAGGTACCAACACTTTCCGTTTACCTTTTTTTCAAAGAGATGCTCTGCTTGTTCAGCTTGTTGTTTCCTTAATCCCTTCCAAATTTTGCCGTTCGACCCGGAAGGTGGATTCTGGCCTGGGGACCGCCACCTTCCCAAATCCAATATCGATTACCGTTCTCGTGAAAAGAAATACCTTATCGGCCATCAGACAATAGTTCAACGAAATAAAGTTGCGTAAGGCAATGTTCCGTTAATGACCGAAAAATTCTATATTGAAAGTCTTGTGATTTGAATTTTGAGCCCCCTCGTGGTAAGTTCTTTTCAAATATTTAAAATGTAATGGTTGATCATGGAAATGCCTCTATTACTCAGGATCTTTCGAGGAGCCCCCGTTTTCAACGAGCCCCCATTTCCATTTTCGTAGAGCCTTATTTTCCAGGTAGATCGTTTGGCTGGAGCTTGGCCATAGAGATTTCGGAGCCTCTATCTACTTTGATTCAAGGCTGGAGTCTGGAGTCTATAATCACCGAGTGACAGAAAATGGACGGCTACAGTACTCCACTGTTTCCGTTGGGATTGAGGCTCGTATAGAGTTTCATTATTAACTTTTACCTTTTATTTATGAAATTTCT